ACAATGTCCTTCATGTATTTCTCTCATTACATATTCTGTTTGGGAAGGTCCAAGACACCTTGCTAATGGACCACCGAACATCTTTCGATAAAGGTTTCCTTGATATAAACAGTAACGAGCAGCCTTTTTACGAAGCGCGTGTGCCTTCCTTTTGTCATCAGGTACGGTTCCATACTGCAGAAAAGCAACAATCTCGTTTCTCCAATCCCAGGTCAAATTATTAAAATTTACCTCATTCTTATCAGGCTCGAGAATGGAATGGAATAAATGTACAACTGAAGCATTTTCATCTTTTGCCACGTCTGCTGCAGATGCGAGATTGGCTAAAGCATCTGCCTCTAAATTCTCATCTCTTGGTATCTGCACAACTTTCCACGTCTGAAACTGCTTTATTAATTCACGTACTTTTCCTAAGTATTCTTGCATTCGTGATTCCCTGGCCGCATAAGTCCCCAGCATCTGGTTAACAACAAGTTGTGAATCACTCTTAATTATAATCTGGGTTATGCCAAGTTCTCGAGCCAATTCCAAACCTGCAATGCCAGCTTCATATTCTGCTTCATTGTTAGTTATCGAATGACACTTTATAGCTTGTCTAATAGTTTCACCCGTGGGTCGTACGAGAACTATTCCTAAACCTGCGCCTTTTACGTTAGATGAACCGTCAGTGAATAAAACCCAAGTCCCCGGGTTTGCACCGTTAAAAACTTGTAATTCTTTTTCAGCTTCTAATTGCATCCCCTGACTGAAATCAGCTACGAAATCAGCTAATACCTGAGATTTTATAGCAGTTCTAGGTTGATAAGTGATGTCGTACTCACTTAATTCTATAGCCCATTTCGCTAATCTACCTGATAATTCATGTTTATGTAAAATGTTTCGTAATGGAAAAGCAGTAACCACAGCAATGGGATGACATTGAAAGTAAGGTCTTAATTTTCTAGATGCCATAATCAAGGCTAGCGCTAATTTTTCTAATTGCGGGTACCGTGTTTCTGCATCTTACATAATAGATAGGAGATTGTTTACCTTGATCCTCCCGAGCTAAAACAGCACTTACCGCAACTTCTGACACGGCAAGATAAATGAGTAACTTCTCTCCTACCTTTGATTTCGCCAACAACGGTAGATTTGACAAATATACTTTCAGATTCTTAAGTGCTTGCTGACAATCTTCGTTCCATTCAAAATGATCCTGTTTCTTTAAAGCTGAGAAAAATTTGAAGCATTTTTCTGAAGACTTGGAAATGAATCTTCCCAGAGCTGCAATTCTCTCGGTTAACCTTTGAACCTCTTTCTTGTTAGAAAGTATACCTGGAATTTCTTCAATGGCCTTAATATGTGCAGGATTCACTTCAATTCCACGGTTAGAAACAAGAAAACCTAAAAAATTTTCTGACGCCACTCCAAATGCACATTTTTCTGGATTCAACTTCATATTATATTTTCGTAAAATTTTAAACGTATCAGATAAGTGTGATATATGATCTTCTGAATGTTGAGTTTTAACTAGCATATCATCTATATATACTTCCATGGTTTTACCTAAATGTTCTTGAAACATTTGTGTGACCAACCTTTGATATGTTGCACCTGCATTCTTAAGACCGAAAGGTATTACCTTGTAACAGTAAGTCCCCCTGTCTGTTATAAAAGAAGTTTTTTCTTCATCACCTGGATCCATCTTGATTTGATTATAGCCTGAATATGCATCTAAAAAACTTAATAGCTCATGCCCTGCAGTAGCATCAATTAACTGGTCTATGTGTGGTAAAGGAAAGGAATCTTTTGGACAGGCTTTATTAAGGTCTGTGTAATCTACACAAACTCGCCACTTACCGTTCTTCTTAGGAACCACAACAGTATTAGCTAACCAGTTAGGATACTTTACCTC